AGGCAAAGTTCGCACTTCCCTCCTTGTTTATTTACTCCTGTAATTGAAATACCTGTGAGGGTGAGGGAGGCGGCTGAAACCTGCAGACACAATGGACCGTGAACTCCAGCTGCCTTTACAAATCCAAACATTTTTATCAGCCTTTGCTGATAAAAATCAGCCATTTGTCACCGGGAGCCTGACCCTCAGCAGCTCTTTTTCAAGTCCCTCCAAAGAAAGCGGCATCGGCAGTGAAAACTGCTCAGCATCCAGCTGGTGAGAGGACAGGGAAAACACTTGTTTTCCTCCTTGACATTTCTGAAAGCCTCCAATTCCCCGAAAATATTGCAGTCGATTTTCTCGGCTTTTTCAGTATCCTCTCCTCCTTTTTTTTTTTTTTTTAAGGGCAAAATTCAACCTTTTTGTTTCGCTTTGCTTTTCCAAAAACCTGTACAAATACCCCTCGGTCAACCCAGAGGAATAATTTTCTCTGTTGCAAGAAAGTGTCACTAATGCACTAACGAGAATTTGGGAGCTGCTGCCTGACTTTTGCAACGTCTCTTCCAGGCTAGGGAACGCTTCGGAATGGCTTTAAACTGGATGAGAGTAGGTTTAAATTAGATACTAAGAATGAATTTTTACTGTGAGGGTGGTGAGGCCCTGGCACAGGTTGCCCAGAGAAGTTGTGGATGCCCCATCCCTGGAAGTGTTCAAATTCAGGCTGGGTGAGGCTTGGAGAAGCCTGGTCTGGTGGAAGGTGTTCCTGCCCATGGCAGGGGGTAGGAATGGCATGATCTTTAAGGTCCCTTCCAACACAAACCAGTCTGTGATTCTGTGAACTTTGTGCCCATGTTCCAGGATGGTAAACCAAGGCCATACTGGAAACTGCTGCCGGATCCAGCTGCCCTGACAATAAGAGAGCACACGTAAGGCCGCATTCATAGGGCGATGTCCACACAGCTCCCAGCCACCACTTCCAAATTCTAACCATGGAAATAGTTCCTGGGTGCAGGGTTGGACCGTGCAACTCGGATCCCAGCGGGAATCACGCCCACTGCACCCCCATGCCACGTCCTAAGGAGATGATGCGTGTTACACCGAACGTAGGCAAAAACGTGACTTGTCCTTTCCTTCCAAGTTTCCTTTGGAGAATATATATAAAAAAAGAAATAAAAAAAAAAAAGAAAACATTAAAAGAGGAGGATGAATCACAGCTTAGTCAGAGTTGGGGCTCGCCAGAACAATTGCTGATGGTGCTGGCATTTTGATGCTGGGGGCAGGGTGCCAGGAGAGGCTGGCTGGTGACCAGTGGGTTCTTCCAAAGGGGACGGGGAATTAAGTCCAGGATTCTTATGGTGGGATGCATCCAGAGCCTAATTCCACTGTTCAGGATGAGTTACTAGGTGAGTTCGATGTTAGAGCAGCAGTGGAACATAAGAGGGAATTGAGGGAGTTTGGCTCTGATGTTTTGGAGAAGTTTGTAAACCCCGTAAGAGATGGGTATCCTGTTCTCACAGAAACAGGTTATTTCCCCCTTTTCTGCCAGACTTCCCTTCTTTGCACTGCCCTTTTCTCTCCCACCTCTCTGTACCTGCTGCCTTCATCCCTCAGACACTCAAGGTCATTTTTTCCCCCATCCACCACCAGGACTTTCAGATTTTGAGCCCTGCATTACATTTATACCCCTGTCCCTTTGCATTTATTAAATGGTCCCTGAGACGGGGTGGGTGAAGCAGCAGCTCCAGCCAGCGCTGGCTGGTTTATTCCACCCTCCACATGCTCCATCTCACAGCACAGCAGAGGATGTGGGACAGCATCCCTGGCTGTCCCGTGGCATCGTGTGCTTGTTGTGCCTCTCAGCGAGCTGACACACCTCTTACTGACAGCATTCCTCCCCCTCAGTGACTTGATTTCTGGAAAAATCGCTGAGCTAAGCACCCCCGTGGGCTCCTTTCACAGCAGCTGTGAGCAACAGCTTATTTACCGGTCTGGGTGCTATTAATAGGGAGCTGGGATTTTGCATGGCACGACTTGAGAGGGGAAAAATAATCCTCTCAGAGCACCTAGTGAGACGTCCTGCTCACCACCCTCTCCCCGGGGTGAAAGTGCCTTATAAATAGTAATGGTTCTTCCAGCTGACCTCCCTCGGAGCAGCTGGGTGCTCGTGCCCCTGAAATCCAGGCCATTTATTTAGGAGTTGAAGCTTTCCGCTCCAGTTATTCAGGAGTTTTTAAGCCAAGAGTTACTAGGTGGAGCTAATTTGAAGTGACTGTGATTTTAATTCAGGCAGGGTTTCGCTTTCGGGCTCCTTTTGATATTGTGGGGGTGGTGATTTGTGAAGCCACAGAGAGGAGAGTGAGCTGCTGGGAGGAAGGGGGATGATGCCCAAATTCCTTGTCCTGTAACATCATGTGAATATTTGTCTTACTTCTGATTCATGTTTTAGCTGGCAACTGAGCTTCTGTTGCCCTCCATGCGAAACGGATTTGGGGATTTTGGAAAAAAAAGCCCTCCTGGCCTTTCCCAAGGATGGATTATGTGCGCAGTGGTCCAGGGAGCGCTGTTGTGCCTGATCCCCATCCCACATTTGCCAGCTGGAGCACTCACTGCTCTCTCCCATCTTCCTTCCTACATCCCAAATCTGGTTCTTTTCCAGCTCCCTCATAGTAGCTATTTAAAAATTCTTTTTATTTTTTTTTTTTGTTGTTGCCTGTGAATATTTTTTCCCTGCGTAGGAGAGGGAAGGATTGTGCACTTTTTACTCCATCCATCTTGGCTCCATGTAAGGAATTGGCCAAAAATACCTTCTTTCTAGATGTGTTAACAAACACAAGCCTTTGCTTCCAGGGGAGGAAAATGCCCTATATAATAAAAGAGGGGTTTGAATGCTTTAAGTATCTGAGATGCTCCTTATCTGGCTTCAAATTTTCAAGCAAAATCTTCTTTATTAAACCCCATCAAAGCAGTTGCTCCCACCTCTGCGGCTCTTCCCACCTATCACATATTCCCACTTCTCCCTGCTGTGGCACGTTCCCACCCAGCATCCTGCCAAAAGGACCCCTCTGTGCCAGGTGGGATAATCCTCATACCTAAGGCAGTGTTGGGGTGCAGGGGGAGGGTGTTGAGCATCTTTAGGACTTCAGTGTCACCATAGGAATTTTCTGAGTGGCTCCTGGACGATGTCCCAGACCCTCTGTGCTGCAAACACAGGCTGTGTTGGGGTATGAGTATTGCTGGGGTGCTGTTTGCAGCCTAACTGAAGGTGGAAATGAGACTTGCAGAAACCTGGTGAGTGGCTTAAAGAGTTTAATAAACTAATAGAAGAATGAAAATTTTAAAAAAGAATAATAATAATTACATATTTATCATAGGTGAATATACATGACAGATAGACAAATAATAGGACGAAAATATTAGGATATTAATAAATTATTAATAAAATAACAAATAATAAATATGAAAACAGCGAGATTAATAAATTTAAAATAATAAGAGAAATAAATAATAAATACTAAGCACCCGTTTGAGAGCAAAGGTTCCCCCGCGGAGCATCCCCAGCGCTCCCGCCGCTTCAGCCCCTTGCGGGGAGGGACGGAGGGATGCGGGGGGGGGTGGACCAGGCGCCTCCCGGGCGCGGATGCGGGCGCGGAGCGGGGCGGAGCAGCCGCGGTGGCCGCGGGCGGAGGAGGAGCCGCCGCATCCCGGGCATCCCCTCCGGGGGAGGCGGCCCCGGCACCGCATGTGCGACGTGAGGGACGTGCAGGAGCGCAGACACCGGCATCCCCCGGCCCCCCGGCATCCCCTGAGCCCCCCCGGCATCCCCCGAGCCCCCTCCGAGCCCCTCGGGTTCCCCCGGCCCGAACCCGCTGAACGCGGAGTGGGGGCGCGCCAGCGGAGCCCCCGTCCCACTGCTGTGTACTTGGAGTTCATTTATTTTATTATTACTGTATTATTTTATTTAAAAAAATTATTTCTGAAATTATTTTCATTTTGTTTCTCTCGTTTTGATTTTTTCAGTTAATTTTATTTTTATTTTATTAAAATTCTAATTTTTTAATTTATTTTTTCCTTTTTTAAAAAAACTTTATTCCATTTTTATTTTCTATATTTTTACTTTATTTCTTTTTCTTACTCCATTGTTATTTTCTACTTTTCTTAGGGTTTATTTTATTTTCCTCATATTTTTTTCCTTTTAACCCACTCAGTCTTTACTTCATTTTATTTTCCCCTTTTTATTTCCTCGCTTTACCTCCTTTTAATTTTTCTAAATCATTTATTTTTTTTTTAAATTTCATTTTAATCTCCCGCTTTTACTTTTCATTTCCTTTTCGCCATTTTAATGATTTAATTATCGTTATTGGTTTTATTATTTTTATTGCTTTTACTCAATTAATTTTCTAACACGGGAGAAAGCGAGACGGGAAAGTTTTTTTAACCGTGCAGGTTTTTAGCTTGGGGGAGCCTTCACACACCCACCCCCCTGTAACACCCCCATAATCCATAATCCCCCTCCCCGCTGTCGCATCCTTGGGGTTGGGGGGTCGGTGGTCGCGGAACAAAGCGGGTCCTTTGTCCGCGCTGCAGTTCCGGGGGCGGGCGGCGGGGGGCAGCACTGCCCGGGCCGCGCCGCATCCCCCCCTTCATCCTCCCTCCTCCTCCTCCTCCTCCTCCCCATCCTCCTCCTCCTCCTCCTTCCCCGCCTCCTCCGCGGCTCCGCAGCGCCCGCCCGGCTCCTCCCTGCCCTCCCCTCCCCGCCCCGCGGGGCGGGCGCCTCCGGGCCCGGCCTGTCGGGATAGAAATAGGCGGCACCGGAGCTGCGGGCACATCGCGAGCGGAGCCGGGCAGGGCGGCAGCCGAGACCGACGAGCAGACCTTCTCAGTCCTTTTTCCCCGGCTGCCTCGCGTGGAGATTTTTCCTACTTCCCCCCCCCCCCCTCCGATTTTTTTTTCCCCAATTATATAGGGGAGCTTTTTTTTTTTTTTTTTAAATATATTTTTCTTTCCATCGCAGTCCGCGGCAGGGCTCGCCCTCGCTCCCTCCCAGCGCGCAGCGGCAGCGCTGGTGCCGTTCCTGCCCGGCTTTGTGCCCTGAAGCCCCGTCCCTCCTCTTCTTTCTCCTCCTCCCCCCCTCCTGCCGTAAAACCTTCACGAGGCTCCGAGCAGCAGCATCCGAAAGCGCCGCAGCCGCTCGCTGAAACCACCGACTGCAGCAAAAACCCTTTTTATTTTTTGTTATATATTTCCTCCCCCTCCTTCCTCTTTTTTTTTTTTTTTCTCCTCCTCCTCTTCCCCCTCAAACGCATCAAGGTGGACGCGGAGCGCAAAAAGACCTTTGTTTTAAAAATGCCCATGGAGCTGACGCAAAGCCGCATCCAGAAGATTTGGCTTCCCAATGACAACCGCCCGGCGCTGCCCCGCCGCTGTGAGTACGGGCACCGCAGCATCCCCGTGGGATGGGACGGGATGGCATGGAGGGGTGGGTGGGAAGCAGTCCCCGTCCTCTGCGCTCCCAGAGGGGGCTCTTTGCAGCGCCCTCCTCCCTCAGCATCCGTGCAGCATCCCGCCTCCCCCCTCCTCTGCCTGCTCCAGCATCATCCCCGTGCCGGCATCCCACTCGCTGCCATCCCGTGACTCACTTCCAGCCCTTGGGAGCTGGAGGAAGGTGCAGCCGTCACATGGCCCCGCGCAGCGGAGGATGCGGGGAGGTGCTGAGACACGCGTGGCCCAATTTCCACTCCCTCCTCCCCACTCCCCCTCTCGGCTTCCAGCCCTGGGATTAAAAGGAAAGGGAGCAGGTTGTTCACCTCGGCACCCGGTCACCGGCTCAGCAGGGATTTTCAGGGTGTCACAGAGTCATGAATGGTTTGGATTGAAAGGGACTTTAAAGCTCATCCTGTTCCAACCGCACTGCCATGTGCAGGGACACCTTCCACTAGACCAGGTTGCTCCAAGCCCCATCCAATTAGTGCATTATAAATTTTTATTTTTTTTGGAGGTGGAGGCAGGATTAGGGAAATGGATTTAGGAAAAAAAAAACCCAGCCGTTTGCACTTTATCATTTAACCCTGTGGGATGAGATAAGAGGCAGGTGGAGGGGAAGGCAGAAATTAATGCTGAAACTTCTGCAGTGCTCTTCGAAGCTCAGAAAGATCCTTGAGGGGTTAAAACCAACCTCTGTGCTTAAAAAAAATAAATAAAATATATATATATAAATAAAATGGTTGGGTCATCCCAGTGTTACTATAAACCAATTCATGAATCATAATACAATCTGAAAGCTCAGGAGGCAGCTCCTTTAACTCACTCAACAGCTAAACTGACAGCCTACCAGTTGTGCAACTCCGTGTGACTCTAAATGAGCATCGCAGGAATCTGCAGAGCCGGGATGGAGGAGATGGCACTGGATGAAGGATAGAAGTGGCTTGGGCAGTTGGGTGAATCAGTCTTTCCAAAGCTTTTCTTCATCAGGCATTTAAAGTCGCTTCTGTTGTTTATTTCTCTTGGCTGGAAAGTATCCCCTTTTAAAAAAAATAATAATAATTTTAGAAAAAGCAGATATCCTATGAATTTGCCAGCTGTTGTTGCCCGGGGCTATGGGTCAGGCTCCCTGGAGCAGATGTTGGGATGTGCTGCCTGAGCCTGGCAAGGGCAGCTCTGCAGCAGGAGCTGCTGAGGAAATGGGATTTCAGCAACAGGCTGAACATCTGGGTTGCCAAGGGGCTTTGCTCTGAGTGGGGTAAAATGGCTTAATGCTTTGCATGTGTGTCTGTATGGCTTGACTTTTCTCAAGGACTGACACCTCTGAAAGAAATGCCTTGTGCACACAGAGCCTCCCAGTGCTTTTTGCCACTTGGTTTCTCAGAGGAGAGAATTCCCTCTTGGTAGAGGAGAAAACTAACATATTTAGTATATTAAGGCACCAAGGGGCTTATTAATAACACAGTGTGGCTTCTAATTATTTTTTCTCGGGCTGGGAGCAAGCCACGCTGGGCACTTTTCACTGTGCAATATGGGAAGAGGGTTGTTAGGCTTTTTTAGATTTTTTTTATTATTATTATTTATTTTTAATTTATTTTTTTTTTTAACACAGGGTGGCTATTTTAAACTCGAGGTGCTATTAATTCCTCAGCAGCAACAAAGAGCAGAGCCACAAAGCTGGGTGGGAGGTGGGGGTGTAACGGAGACCACGGCCGGTGTGGTCCCTGGAGGGAACGGGAGCATCCCTGGGAGCATCCTCTGGAAGCTGCTCCCTGCGCGTGAAATAATTAGTCCGATTGTCGCTTCCTCGTCAGTGGGAGGCTGGAGTGGCTCGGAAGTGGTGCCTTCATCTGGCCTTTTGACGGCGATCCATTAAATTGCTGTCAAGCTGCACGTCTCTCACGTAGGGGCTGGGAAAGTCAAGTCGTCGGAGGCGCCGGGTGGGCAGAGCCAGGCGAGGGGAGGGGGCTCGGGAGGGGGATGCTCCAGGAGGGAAGGGGCTGCCGCTGCCTTTCCCTGTCCCATCACTTCTCTTTGCCATCACTCCTGCTCGGAGGCTGTGCCTGTAAAACCCCGGCTGGCGCGTTTTCAGGGCGGTAGCGGTTCCACGTGTGCGTGTGATGCAAAGTGCAGAAACGTTCATGCGTGAAGGTGTCAGGGGATTGCAGTGAGAAGAAGCTGCAGAAGGGGAATGTAGGACTAATGTAGAACATGTGGTGTGGGGGAACACTTATACAAGGAGACCCGTAAAAGTGCCTGAAGTGGGGAGGTGGCTGTTTTATCCGACCTGTTAGAGAAGCAAATTTCCTTCCCTCTTGTGGTTTGTATTGTTACGTTGTGTTTTTTGTTTTTGCTTCCTTCCCTCCCCTGTTCTGGTAAAGCACAGGAGCTCATCAGTGCTGACTTTCTGGCAGCTGTAAGCCACATGTGATGAGCGCCTTCTAAATATCCTGACTGAGCCTGAAAGTCATCCCTGACCTTGACTTACCTGGCTAGATATGGATAAGCAGTAATGAATATCCATTGAAATCCCCGATAGCTTCCCAGCAGTGGTGAAAAGAAATTATGAATGAGGTCTTTGTGAAACACTGAGCAAAACACTGGTTTCTGTTTCATCCCTGATGCAAAGTTTCTTCGGAGACTTTTGTGATTTAGTTGGGTTTGGGCTCAGATTCCTGATAAAAAGTTCCTTGGTGGATACCCTGGTGTTTTGGGAGGTGCTCCCAGCTCTGTAAACAGATGCTTTTTTGTGGTCCAAGGGGAACCTGGATCTTTTCTTTGGCAGAAAAACAAATCATGGGGGAGATTCCTCAATTACAGGTGTTTAACTCCTGCAGCACCCTTTGGAGGTGGCACATATGTGCCAGGTCTGGGACTGTCACAGCTGTCTGGAGCCAAAGGCACGTGAACAGTACCCAGTATTGTCCCCATCCTCTTGAACTGCTATTAATGGCCCGAAATCCTCTTGGCTCTTTGAGATCTTTTGTCCACTCTTAAAGGAAGGGTTTCTTTATTTGGGTATTGTTCCCTCCTCCTCACTTTATCTAATAAGTGTGTGAGTTTTGTTGCAAAACTGGACTTGCAGCCATTGGTTGTGAGAGGAAGTGAAACTGTTAGAGGGGAAACAAAGATTTTTCTGGGTATATTGCTCAGCTCCCTTGGTACCCAAGCGTGGAAAATTGGCACTTGCTGCCAAAATCGATGAGAGCTGCCCTGGGCTTTTGAAACGCAGCACTGGGGAGGCAGGTTCTACAAAGGGAGTGAGTGTGAGGGCAGCTCCAGCCTGAGGAATGTGGAATATTTATGAAAAGAAGAAAAAGAGAAAATCTATTTTAGGTAGTTTTTCATCTCTTGCCTGCTGAGTCTGCTTTGCTGAGACAACAAGGAAGATGATGGGTGGCTCTTCTCTGCTGTCTGGGTACCGGTGCTGTCACTCTTCCTTGTGGTCTTAATTTGGTTTCTTCAGCTGTTGGATTTATTTTTTTCCTAGAAAACAAAGGGAATCCCACGTACTTTGCATGTTTTATGGATACTTCTCAGTTTGTTTGCCCTCTCCAGATCTAATCTGAGTCTCCATCCTCAGGTCCCACCTGCAGGCAGCTGGGACAGGCAGGCAGAGCTCTCCACCCAGACCATAGTTAAGCTGGGGTTTATGGCTCTGCCACCAGCCACTCACTCCCTGCATTCCTTTCCCATGAGGTCTCTGGCCTCACCGGGTGGATGGAAGGGTGGGAGGGAAATCCCCTGGAGGGTCTTGCCTGTCCTGCCCTTGCCGGGAGGGCTCTTGGAGTGTCACACTGGGCGGCATGAAAGGCAGCTGGCTAATCTAAATTCCATTAGGCATCATTAAGATCTTCCTTTCCTGGCTTTGTGCCTTGGCCTTGCCTGTGTGCAGCACCATGTGAGAAGCAATTTTTCAGAGCAAGCCCTAGGGAGGAACAGGGATGCAGCCAAGGGAGAGGGATGCTACCTCATTACATGTTCCATGGAATGTGTGGTCCAGATGCATCCCCTGACACAGGGGCTGCAAAGTACTGAAAAAAAAAATTCCCAAACTGTATTCCCAGTCCTGTAACCTCAGCAGTTTCCTCTGAACTGAACCAGGAATTTGCTTTCAAAAGGATTTATGGGGGGGAGAAAGTGATTCACCTGGGCAGCCTGGCAGCTGATTTGTCTGCATTTTGGTCATGCCATTCAAGTGACTTGGACAGGAATTTCTCTTCACTTGCCAAGTCATTGCAAAGCGCTGCCTCTGGATTTTATTTCCAGCTGTTTGACATAGATGCTCTTTACCACAAAAAAAACCCCCAAACCAACAACCCAGCTTAAAATAGGTTTATGAGAAAAAAGGGATAAATTACTTGGCTATCTGCTTTTAAATGCTGATGGTTCTGTGGTCCTCATGCTGTGTTTGTCTTCAGAAAAATGGTTGCATTTGCACGTGTATCAGTTAAGAATCTAGTCAAATATTTTGGAAGATGCTCTCTGGGTGGAGATGTCTGTGCAGACCTGGTATTTCAGCACAGCAGCAGTGTCTGAAGTGTGCTGCTGCAGGACCTGGACCAAAGTACTTGGCCATCCTCCAGCTTTTCACAGAATTGGCCAATTCACAGGAATGGGAGGTTGTGTTTGCCTTGTTTTCTTTTTTTTTTTTTTTTGGTTGTAAGTAAGGAAACTGAGGTGTGGAGACTCTCCAGGGAGCCTGGGCCAGCTGCTGGTTCCTTGCCTACTTTGCAGCCATCAGAATGTTCTTACTGTGGCTTTCAAACTGTGACTGTCTTCCCCCCTGGTTTGGGTTGACACCAGGGTGAATTTGGGTCAGCATGGCTTAGCTGGGACAGCTGTGTCTCACCAGTGGGAAGCCATGGAGCCAACCATCATGCCTCCTGCTCAGGGTCTTGGTTGTCCAAACTCATGAGAGGGATGTACAAGAGATATTACAGAGGTGATGGTGCACATAGAACACATGTTTTGTATTTTCTCTGGCTGCTGAAGGGTTTGGGGGAAGGCTGAGTGAAGAGCAAGTGTCTTATAGGGTTGATACAAGATGAGCTGGAGAATTCACAGCTGCTCATGTTCTTTTTCCTCCTCCTCCTCATAGCCTGTGGGCCACAGCTTGCCAATTCCCCCACTGTGATAGTGATGGTTGGCCTCCCAGCCCGTGGGAAGACCTACATCTCCAAGAAGCTCACCCGCTACCTCAACTGGATCGGTGTCCCTACAAAAGGTGAGGCATTCACTGGCTTCCTGGGGGAAGCATGAGGTCTGGTCCTCAGGAGTTCCTGTAGAGCTCAGTGCCTTGGGGTGTAGCAGGAGAGCTTTCCAAAATTCGATGGGCCAAATATCAATGTTTTGCCATCATTTCTGCTGCAGCCTCGGTCCTCCTTCACTTCAAGATCAAGAGATGTCCCTTGAGCCCTTTGCTCTAAGAATGTAATTTCTTATCACTTCGCTTGCTTTAATTGCAGAAACTGTACAGATGAGATGAGCTCCTGGTTTTGATGGCTTTTGTCTTTCCCAAATAGTTTTCAACGTGGGGGAATATCGCCGTGAGGCCGTGAAGCATTACAGCTCCTATGACTTCTTCCGTCCTGACAACGAGGAGGCCATGAAAGTCAGGAAGTAAGTGTGGGCACTACCTCCATCCTGGTGAAGCCCATGGCTGGAGCACAGTTACCCAGTTTGTTCGGGGGTGATGAGCAGGGCTCTGCTTTTGAGTTCTCCCTGCCTGGCCAAAGAGGCCTGACTTGGGTGCCAAGAGCTCAAAACTGAAGCTGTGTGGGCTTGGTAGCTTCGGGGTCACCAGCACATCCAGAGGACATCAGGACCACACATCTCCTCTTTTGCAGGCAATGTGCCATGGCTGCCTTGAGGGATGTCAAGCTGTACCTGACGGAAGAGGCCGGACAGATTGCGGTAAGAACGGAGATGTGCTCCATGGGATTTTGGCAAGTCCCAGTCCTGAACGTCCTGTGCCCTGTGCTGTTTGCTCTGCAGTTTCTTCCCTGAGGAGGGGGCTCAGTGGGGAACCAGGCACTTGTTGTGCTAACTGAAATCTTTGCTTTCAAAGGTCTTTGATGCCACCAATACCACACGGGAGAGGAGAGGGATGATCCTAAACTTTGCCAAAGAAAATGGATTTAAGGTTGGTACCATGGAGCTGATGCCTGAATTGCATAGTCCACCTTAGTGTACTGTTGGTGTATCTTCTTTCACGAACGTGTTGTCCTCATAATGCTCCTGTGTAAGGGGTATTTCGTTGCTGGGTTGGATTAAAAATGTGAAACTCTTCCCTCATTCCTTATAAAAAGTCCTGGAGAAGGAAACAATGGGAGTAGGGCAGAGAGAGAGCTCTCTGGGCAAGCAGGGAGGAGGTTGGGTTGGGCAAGAAGCTGTTTGAGTGTTAAAAGCCTTGTTGTTGGCTTTCAGTTGATGTTTGCTTTGCTTCACAGGTGTTCTTCATTGAATCTGTCTGCAATGATCCCACTGTGGTTGCCACTAATGTTATGGTAAGTGTGGAAGTGTCTTGCTTTTGTTTTCCCTCCATAGACAGGTAGGAATGGCATCACATTCACAAGCCCTGGTTCTCATGGTGGACTTCAACCACCCTGGTATCTGTTGGAGGGACAACACAGCATGGCACAAGCAATCCAGGAAGTTCCTGGAATGTGTTGATGATAACTGCCTTCTCCAAGAGAGAGGAGCCAATGAGGAGGATGTGCTGTGTTGCACCTTGTTGCCACCAACAAGGAAGGGCTGGTGAGGAATGTGAAGCTCAAGGGCAGCCTGGGCTGCAGTGACCATGAAATGAGACCTTAGCAGAGCAGACTTTGACCTCTTCAGGAATATGCATGGAGGAGTACCATGGGATAAAGCTCTGGAGGGAAGAGGGGCCCAAGAAAGATGGATTGTCTCCAAGCTCAGGTGTGATGTGTTACCAACAAAGAAGTAATCGAAAACGTCAGGAGGCCTGCATGGATGAACAAGGAGCTCCTAGACAAACACAAAAAGGAAGCCTACAGAGGATGGAAGCAAGCACAGACAGCCTGGGAGGAATACAGAGATTGTTTGGGTAGCCAGGGATCAGGTTAGAAACAATAAAGCCCTGACAGAATTAAATCTGGACAGGGATGTTGGGGACAACAAGAAAAGCTTTTATAGGTACATTTGATGATAAAAGGAAGACTAGGGAAAATGTGGGCCCTCTCCAGAAGGAAATAGGAGGCCTGGATACTGGGATATGGAAAAGGCTGTGGTACTCAATGACTTTTTGCCTCAGTTTTCACCACCAAGTGCTCCAGCCCACCAGTGGAGTTGTAGAAGGCAAAGACAAGGACTGGGAGAATGAACAACCACCTACTGTAGAAGATCAGGTTTGAGACCATCTAAGGAACCTGAAGGTCTACAAGTCTGTGGGACCTGATGTGATGCGTCTGTTGGCCCTGAGGGAATGGGTGGATGAAGTGGGGAAACCACTATCCATCATATTTGAGAAGTCATGGCCATCCAGTGAAGTTCCCGCTGACTGGAAAAGGGAGAACATAACCCTCATTATTAAAAGAGGAAAAAAAGGAGACTTGGGAAATTGCAGGCTGGTCAGTCTCACTTTGATGTTTGACAAGATTATGGATCAGATCCTCCTGAAAACTATGCTGAGACACATGGAAAATAAGGAGGTGATTAGTGAGAGCCAGCATGGCTTCACTAAAGGTAAATGGTGCCTGACAGGCAGGGCTTGGTTTTGGGACTGGTGCTGTTTAACATCACTGGTGATGTGGACAGTGGGATCGAGGCACCCTCAGCAAGTTTGCCAATGACACCAGGCTGTGTGGTGTGGAGGAAGGGATGCCATCCAGAGGGACCTGGACAGGCTGGAGAAATGAGTCTGTGCCAATCCCATGAAGTTCAAGAAGGCCAAGTGTGAGGTGCTGCACCTGGGTCAGATCAATCCCAAGCACAAGTACAGGCTGGGTGGAGGATGGATCAAGAGCAGCCCTAAGGAGAAAGGGTGCTGGGCTGGGACTGGAGCATGGCTTTTGCTCCTGTTGGGAGCTGTTGTCCAAGGGCCAGTGACCAGCTCTTTGGGAGGTTGCACACAGCCTTTTCCATGACGCTAATAAAATGCTCAGTTTGCTGCATCCTTTTTTTTTTTTTTTTTGGAGGATTTTAATCCCTTTATTTGGAAACTAATGCCTGAAGGGGGAGAAAATGAATGTGGGATTTTGCTCCGTGGGGGTGCTGCAGATGAATGGTGCTCATAGTGCTGGGATCAGTGTGGAAAATACACCATGGGCCCTGGATGCTGCCACATGTGTCACTCTGTTGTGTTATCCTGTTCGTTTCAGGATTGCCTTTGAAGTTACTAATGTGTAATGCTGCTGTTCAAACCCAAATCTTTAGGGGAAAATAGCCTGTTAGATTAGTTCAGGGGGAAAAATAGCCTGTTACATTAGTTCAAGCGGAACTTAGTCCATGGGAGTTCTGGATATTCACGTTGCCCATTTGTAGTACCTGTCAGCCCAGTAACTTGCAGCAAATAGTGCACAGAAAGGGTTTGAATGTTGTTATGCTAATATCCTTTTGCTGACCCAGGATAAACATCTTGTCTAAGTTCATGCACTTTCCATTCTCAGCTTGAATTTAAACCTGATGCTTTTTTTTTTTTTTAACCACAAGGAAGCTCAGTTTTCCCCACTGTGTTGGGTGGTGAGGTGCTACCCCAATTCCTGGGAGAATGGGAGTGGACTGATGCACATCTATACTAACCATGCAATGGTTTGTACTAGATTATCTCACTTTATGCTTATTTTTGGGTCTGACTCTCTTCTTTTGTGCCCTGTGATAAGTGATGACTGTAAAGTGTCTCAGCTGTTTGCTGGATGTTGGCAGGACTTTGGAATTCGAGATTAGCATTGCCTGGCTGGGAGACCTTCCTGACCTCTCCTTGTGTGTTTTTTTTTTTTTTTTTTCACAGGAAGTCAAATTGTCCAGCCCAGATTACCGGGACTGTAACTCCACTGATGCCATGGAGGACTTCATGAAGAGGATCAACTGTTACCAAGCCAGTTACCAGCCACTAGACCCTGATGACTACGACAGGTAAGAGACTTTTTGCTGACTTCTGAGCTGGCTTAAACACCCTCCTGCTCCCAGGAGAGGAGCAGTGAAGGATGAAGCTGTATTTCACTTTGTGTTCAAATACCTGACTGTGTTAGAGTTATGTATGGCCAAGCCTCACCTGGAAACCAGGCTTTTGCCTTGAAAATGCTGGTTTTCCCCAGCCCTGTGCCAGGGAGTCGGGCACTGAAACTTTCCCAGGCTCTTCTGGGCTCAGATATGCTGTTTTCAACCCTGTTCTGCAGGTCTAAATACAAAGGGTTTGGAAAAGCACTTAAGTTTGAGTGGTTGAGGTGCTTTTGTTGTTCTCCCACTTAAAGGAAGGGATTGGTTGGCTCAGACCACAGGACTGAGCAAACCCTGTGGCTTTTGCCTAGTTGTGTGCCCTGGGAAGACCTTTGCTGTCCTGTATGACTCTGCAGGCACCTCCCAGCCTTTCCACTGCTCACAAACACGTCTGTGTGCTCTGTGAGGATTATTCCACTCCTGCTGATCCCTGTCCTGGGGAGGAGCATGTTCCCTGTTAGTCCTGTTTAATCCTCTTTACTGCTGCAAGGAGGAATGGCGATTACACTGGTGTTATTCAGCTCTCCGTGAATCCCCGTTACCTGTTGGCTTCCTGTTGAAAATAGCCTGCAGGAAATCCTTTTAGCTGGGTGATTATTATGCTGAGGGAGATAAGTCACAAGGCTGTTTCATGAGAATGGTGTTTCTTTCTTTCCCTAGGGAGCTTTCTCTCATCAAAGTCATCGACGTTGGCCGGCGGTTCCTGGTCAACAGGGTTCAGGATCACATCCAGAGCAGGATTGTTTACTACCTGATGAACATCCACGTCCAGCCCCGTACCATTTATCTCTGTCGGCACGGAGAGAGCGAGTTCAACCTCATGGGCAAGATTGGAGGGGACTCTGGCCTCTCCAACAGGGGCAAGAAGGTGAGGGAGAAGGGGAATACTCCCCTGTGGCTTCAAGGAGGGGTTTGGGTGTAGTAGATGCCATGTGTTGGATGAAGTGTATATTTGATGACAGCTGGGTTGCTCAGGATCCATCTATAGGGCTGGTTAAGTTTGGGCATGGCCTCAGAACGACTTCCCAGCCATCATTGTTACTTGTAGTCTTGCATGTACTTAGGCCTTAAAAGGGATTGGGCTGCAGAAAGCAAATAAGCAGAGCTATGGTTAAGGATGGCCAGGGATTTTCCGTAACACTGTGGGAAAGCCCAGGTCATGGTGCTGTTTCCTGGGTGCTGATGTTCCTTGAAGGCAATAGGTTGCCTCTTTCTCCTCTGTTTTCTCTCTGTTCTCACACCCCTTCTTAGGGATCATTGCATGTGTGGCTGCTCATCAGCTTGGAGCAGGAGACTTAATCTGTCTACCTATGGAGGGCAAAAGCAGACCTGAAGAAGTCAACACTTACTGGGAAGCAGGGAAGAAGGCCCACTGGGAAGCTATGGACCAGGAATCAACCTCTTTTTTTTTTATGCCCCACAGTTTGCGCTGGCACTGAACAAATTTGTAGAAGAGCAGAACCTGAAGGACCTCAAAGTCTGGACCAGCCAACTAAAAAGGACAATCCAAACAGCAGAAGCTCTCCAGCTGCCCTATGAGCAGTGGAAGGCACTCAATGAAATTGATGCTGTGAGTATCTTTGATTGCAGTAGGAAGAGCTGGATCAGGCTGGTTGTTGCTTGACAAGAGAGAGCAATAGCACTAAACTCTTTGCTTCTGCTAAATCTCAGCTGCCATGGGGAGATTTTCCTTCTGTGGGAAAGGGTGGTACCTCTGCAGGACTCACCTTTTGGCTTCGATCTTAGTTGTACCTTCTGCAGATTCTTCAAATGTTGTCTTGAATTATAGAATGGTTTGGGTTGGAAGGGACATGAAAGACCATCTGTTCCAACCTTGTGCCATGGGCAGGGACATCTTCCACTAGACCAGGTTGCTCCAAGCCCCATCCAGCATGGTGGATTAAAATGATTTTTGTTTGGAACTGCTCTGTAGCTGAGCACTCATAGGGTTACAGACAATTGCTTTGGAGAAGGTTTTGTGTGTTGGCTGTGCTGATGCTTTTTGACCTGAGTGTGTCCAGTAACCATGGATGTCCTGTTCTGGCAGGGTGTGTGTGAAGAAATGACTTATGAAGAAATCAGGGAGCAGCATCCAGAGGAATTTGCTTTACGTGATCAGGATAAATATTACTACCGTTATCCTTCAGGGGAGGTAGGTCTGCAGGAGACCTTCAGAGACATGACTTCTGCTTTAAATGTTGCCTTTTTATCTTCATTCTGTCCTCTAAACTTGAGTAGTGAGTGCTCCAAGAAACTAGAATAGAGAAAAGTCAGGGCTTATATTCACCTCTGTGCTGAGCTCTTGTGAAATCGTGGTTTGTGAAGATATCACTGAGAAATGCATCACTTAACAAACAGTTCCACTGGCTTTACAGCAGATTAGTAGGAAAGGGAGTCTGGAGGTTTCTAGTCCAACCTCCGTTATTATATACACTCAAAGTGTTGTGCTGCCCCAATTTCCTTTTCTGTCATTTCCAAAAAAAGTAGTTTTCACCCTGTTCTCAGTATCGTTCCCTAAGGGTTGATGGTAACAGCTCTGTTATTAGCAATCTGCTTTCAGCGTGTGACACAATGAGGTGGCAATTTACATCAGTTCTGGATGATACTTTAGGCTGTGAATTGAACTATTTATCCCCAAATTAAAAGTCATTTGGGAAAATAGACATAGACATTTGGAAAAAATCTTAGATACACTGTCATGAGGATGTTTCCAAACAGAGGAATGTGTGGAGATGTCAGACACCACCTCTGGGTGTCTGGAGCTTGTTCTGCCTGCCTCTCATGGTTCTTTATGAAGTCCTTCAAAACGCTGGCGTTTCTCAGGTTGCTCCAGACTTGTCATAACTTAGAAATCCTGTAGAAAAATCAAATTTCAAGATGAGAGAGGGATGCTATCCTGAGAACGCCTGTTGCTTACCTTAATAAACTCCAGGACTGAGATGTGATTCACTGAGATGGGAACGGCTTCTTCTCTGATGGAAGAAGTATCTGTGTTCTAGAGTAACCTGAAAATGAGGATGTACTTGTTTTTAGCAGTAATTATGTTACTTTAGTCAGAGGCATGAAATCAGTAGATGTAAGACAAAGAGCACTGCTGCTCCTGTGGTGCTTGTTTCTTTGAGTCTATGCCTCATCTTCCTTCCTGTCTTTTGTCCCAGTCCTACCAGGATCTGGTGCAGCGCCTGGAGCCAGTCATCATGGAGCTGGAGAGGCAAGAGAATGTCCTTGTGATCTGTCACCAGGCTGTCATGCGCTGTCTCCTGGCATACTTCCTGGACAAGAGCGCAGGTGAGCTCCCTGTCTGTGGGAAGAGGATGGACTCTGCTGGAGGAGGGATGATGGATGCAGCTCTGCAGAGATGCGTTCAGGTCAATGCGGGCCTGGAGCATACATCTTGTTAGGTGTGGGGTGGCCTTGGCTGCTGATAAAGATGCTTTTGAAGAGGACATGGGATAACCCTCCTGCTTTGCTGTCTCTGCAGATGAAATGCCCTACCTGAAATGTCCCCTTCACACGGTGTTGAAGCTGACCCCGGTGGCCTACGGTAAGTGGGACCTTCCTTCTAAACATGTGGAGGGGTTTGACTTGTACCTCCTCCTGAATCCAGACTGCCTCTGGGAGAAGAGCAGGGATTTGTGGTGCAGCACTGGGCAACACCTTGTGCCTTTTGGGTTTGCTGATGGCCTCTCTGTCTCCTTGTGCTCCCCTCTGCAGGCTGCCGGGTGGAATCCATCTCGCTGAACATCGAAGCCGTCAACACCCACAGAGATCGGCCAGAGGTGAGTGTTGCTTTTCCTTGGAGCCATCTCTTGGTGGTCCCCTCCTGTCCCCTACGGTCAGCTGGCAGCGGGAACACCTGGAGTGGGCATGGGGAGATGGCTCAGCTGGGTGCTTGGAAGTGCTGCTGGTGGAGCATCAGATGGGTTCTTGCTCGGCAAAGTTGTGGCTGGTTCAGGGTTTTCCAAGGGAGAAGGAGCGTTGCATGTGCCTGCTTCCCAGTGTGTTTGCCCAGACTAGAGCTGGCCCAGGGAAAGCTCCTCCCTGGTCTTTCCCTTCTGCCTGTACAGTCATCAATTCACTCAAGCAGGGAATGGAGCCATGGGTGGAGAAGGTGACTTCTCCCAGGTCTCCTAGTTTTCTGACAGAGCCTGGGCTCGATGCCCAAAATCTGACTTTGCAGATTTTGATTGTTTTGTTTGCTTTTTTTTTCCTGGTATGCCCATGGCACTGTGGGGCTACCAGAATGTCTTTCTGCTGGGTGGGGTGTGGTGGTGCTGGGCTAGGGATGCTGTGGGGAGGAGACCCCTCTTCTGAAAAAATTCCTGTAAGGGCTGATCTGTCTGCCATGTGCTCCACTAGGAGCTCAGAGACCAGAGAGTGGAATACCAGCTTGGTGTTGGGTCTGGGTGCCCCGGGGATGTTGTGCCCCTGTCCCAGATGCTGGGACCTTTCCAATTTGTGCTTAGTGGTGATGGAGCCCAACTGGATGCTGGACAGTCGGAGCCGTCCTCTTTTGGCCCACGTCTCCTTTCCTTCACTTCCCGACCTTGGCAGGTGGCAGCAGGGAGAGGGCCACCTCTCCCTCCCCATGGCTGTAAGGGGGAAGCCAGTCCTTCCCCCTGCCGTGGAGGCCATCAGTGCCCTCCTCCACCACCCTTGCTGGGGATGGCAGGAGGGCCAAGGGTAGGATGGAGCAAGACACACACAAAGTGCTTGGGTCCCCTGTTCAGCTGCGTCGGCGCTGCCCCTCCATCCCTCCTCGCTTGAGTAGGAGCTTGGCAGTGCCAACCCTTGCTGGCTGCTCTGCTCCCACTTCCCAAGTCTTCCTTATCAGCTTGGGCTGGCTTGTCTTCCCTCTTCCTGCTTTCACACCTCTCCCTGGGTGGAGGGACTGGCTTCGAGGAGGAGACCGATGGGTGCCTCTCTCTGTTGTGCAAAGTCATGCCTTGATTGCTGCTCGGTGTTTTTAGCTATCTGTAGTTACTTTTTTGTGAGCAGAGACTTAGGTGAGGGGAAGGTCTCTTGTGTCTGAGTGCAGGGCACTTTATTTTTGACCCCTCCCATTCTGTGCTCTTGAACACTTTTGTATCAGGGTTTTTTTTTTTTTTTTGTGTCCAGAGCCTTTCGTTTGCTCATTGACAGTGATTGTGGGGAAAAGCAGAGGCCACTTTAAGAAAAAAAACCAGAACAACCTGCTCCTTTTTTTTTTCCTTTATAACTGTCACCTTCTTCCCTTTTTTTTTAACTTTATTTTTTTTTATATTTACTTTTATTTTCTTTGTCTCACTTTAATTTAGGAAGCAAAGAAGGGACCTAACCCGCTCATGAGACGTAATAGCGTTACCCCTCTAGCAAGCCCAGAGCCCACCAAAAAACCTCGCATCAACAGCTTTGAGGAGCATGTGGCTGTTTCTTCTGCCCTGCCAGGCTGTGTTCCTCAGGAAGTGCCCACGCAGATGCCGGGACAAGTTAGTTGAACTCTCTCTTTTTTTTTTTTTTTTTTGGTTGTTGTTCTTGTTGTTTTATTGTTTGTTGTCCTCCTGTCACTCCTGAAGCTGAGGAACTGCTTGCACTTGTCGCAACCTGTGCTGCTGTCTCTGAGATGCATCTTCCTCCCACGGCTGCTGTCCTTCCCTGCCTTGGGTTGGTCTTGGGAGCACCTGGCGAAGGGTCCCTGTTGATCCTCTCTTGGGTTTTGAGAGCGTCATGAACTCCCCCCAGTGGGCTGTGTTAATTTAGTGCCTTCAGTATCCAGCATCGTGGTGTCAGACTCCCAGGGAGCTACATTTCTAGAGGGAGCAGGAGCAAAGGGCTTGTGCCTTCTCTCTGGGTGTGCTCGGCTCCAGTGTAGACCTGGGCATTGGAATAAAGCAAATGTTCTTGTGCTTCCCTCGAGACGGAGCTGCCAAGACTCATCTTTGGCTGGAGGGGTCCCCTTCCTGGAACAATAGGCAAAACGGACCAAAATTGAGTAGAAGCTTCTTGGTGTGGTGAACCTGAGTGAAACTCCGTGGGTGGTTGCTGTGGTGCTCACGTGCCCTCTCCTCTTTCACCTACCCATGAAGAGATGTAGGAAGAGAGACTTTGCTGAACGCACGCTTCTCCAGGAACAAACCCCCTTCCCTGAGCTCATTAAGGAACTGGGATGGTACTGGAGAAGCAGCACAGGAGCTGCTTTGCCATGCTGCCCTTCCTGCCAGCTGCCTGTTGGATCTCACTGTCTTGCCTAGCCCCTCTTTCTGTTATCTGTGTTGTCTGGTATCCTCTCGCCCCTCCTCAGCCAGATCCTGGGCAGGTTAGGAATGGTTCCATGCTCCCAAATTGCTCTGCTTGGTTGCTGCTTTGCATGAGCCTCCCACCCCAGCAAGCCCCAAGTGGGACAGCCCAGCCTGTCTTTCAGCTTTTGGGGTCTGCTTGGGCCAGTTGAGTCTTACACAAACCCTTTGCTGGCTCCGGGTTTGGAAGCTCTGGCTGTCGGGTGCCGTCCGTTGTCCTCTGCCCAGTCTGGCACGGCGTTACTGACACCTCTCTCTCCGTTCTCTCTGTCTCTCTGCAGCCTTTACTAGGGAAGGCATGCCTGTAAGTACCTTCTTGCGTCTTATTCCCCCTTCCACCCCTTTTCCATGTCTCTTGCCATCCCACTGGTTGTTTTGTTGGGAAATCTGACTGGGGCGTGGACTTTTTGGAGTTAATATTTCTCTGTTTTGAGGGGGATTTGTCTTAGGAAAGGTAAAGAGAAGACTATGGATGTTGTTTTGTCCAACCCCCGAATATCCTAGCTTGGTTAAATGTCCCAAGTTTGTTGTGAAATGAAGCAAGTTATCACTTGCATTCTGTTGATGATGCCTACATTCCCTGGACAGTCATGGGATGGGAGATACTGTTGGGTTTTCCTGGAGTTGTCTGTGATGGCACATTGTGCTGTAGGTGATAGACCTGGGTGGTCTGTCCTTCCTAAGGGCTCTGAGTTGTGTCTATGAGTGATGGCACCAGAGAAGGTTCTGACCTTCTCAGGAGTGTGTCTTCTGGAGCTGGACTGATCCTGGAACCAGGCATCTGCAGTTCTGCAAGCCTGGATTTTGGGAACAGTCAGCTTAAATGTCGTGGGCAGAGTAGATGCAAATTGTCCTTCTCTATTAAGAAAGGAAAAAACCTTGAGCATTTAATGCAGTAATTATGAGTAATCAAGACTTTGATAGTTTAGCTTAGTGCTGCTAGATCCTTATGTAACAGAGTTGGGACAACTTCTGGGTAAATTTGAAGCCTTTGGACTCAGTTTATGCTACATCATTGACTTGAGAGTGCAGCAGTTGTTGAGATGTGCTCAAATGTCTTCTCAAAGACTGAGAAGACTTTGGGGTTGAGTTGGGATTGGGGTAGTGCCCAGGGGTCTTCTAGAGTAAAAGTTTTTGAAAAAAGGGAAGTTAGGAACATTGCATGGCTTGCCTGCCTGTGCTCCTTTCCTTGCTGCTCATGGGCACAAAAGTCCCTGATGAAATGTCTGGTCTTCTTGGGTTGCTTTGAATGCATTTTTGATTTTTTTTTTTTTGATTTTTTTTTTTTTTTTTGTCCATCCCTCCATCCACCTTTTCCCCATCCATATTGCAATGAAAAGCACTACATGCCTCAGTGCTGGCTGGGACACTGAAAACACTCCCTGGTGTTGAATTTGGGGGATGGCTGTGTCAGATTTAGCTGGACCAAGAGCTGTGCTGGAGCAGGCAGTGATGGTTGCCCATCCCAGGTTTAGGCTGGTAGCAGCAAGTTTAAAATCTCCAGCTGCTGGGAGCCTGCCTCCACCTGCTAGTGTGGGACTTGCGGAAAGGCTGCTTTTGTGGGACCCATGAAGACACCCCAAACTAAAGGCTTGGTGACATTCATGCTGCTGTTAACTCTCAGGCTGTTGTCTTACATTTGGTCGCTCACTTTGTCCCATCACCACTTGTATGGGGTCAGGGGAGGTGGAAGGTACCTTATTCCCAATTTGCACCATGGCACTGGGTTGGCAGTGGGTGTTTTGTTGCATTAACCTTTGCTATTGGGGTCTTGATTCCCATCCAGGAGGATCAGGGGACATCTGGAAAGGCAGGCAACATGGCTGTGGGATTGAGCTGGTTTGGGGTTGTGGGACTACCTGCTGTGATGATTTCTTTTCCTTTTGCTTGGTTTGTGATCCAAAGTGCACTTTTTAACAACCACCTGATCCCCTCCCTTCTTCTCCCCTTCACTTTTCATGCTTAAAGAAGACCCGTTTGTCACTTTCTCAAAGTTTTCTCTTTACTAATATTTCCAAGGTAAATGGCTCTGGTGCATGTGGCTTTTCCTGACCCTCCTTCTGTCTCCTTAGATAACAGAGAGAGCAGCTCTGCCTCGTAGCGTGACTGAGATTCCTGGTGCTTGTAAGAGGCAGCTTAGGTAGAAAAAACAAATAAAATAAAAAATACTCCTCCAAAAAAATAGTAACCTTCCTAGCTGTTTCCTAGTCCTTCTTTCCCCTACCCTGTTTTGTGTAGTTTTGTGAGTTGGGCAGTGTCCTTGTGGTCATCTCCCCTGGGTTTCTCCTTGAGCAGATGCTTTCCTTGGGCCTGGTCCTGCTTGTGTTCAGCTGATTGTCTCTGGTTTTGTCATTCCCACCACACACTGGTGGGTACCTGTTGTCACCCTGTATCAGGGCTGTGGCTGGAGCATCTTTAGGGCCCATGAAACCTCATGGGGTTGTCATTGGGGGAGTGTGTGCTTCTGCCATAGCAGTGGTGGTGGCTGGTCCCCATGCTGGAGACCTCATTGGCATGGCTGGTGGGAGTTGGCTCTTCTTGTCAGTGCCAAGGATGGACAAACAATGACCTTGCCCTTGGCAGGCAGAGGGGACACTGCCCACCTTCAAGGGGAGCAAGAAAGATGTTTAATTTGGCACCTTGATTGAGCACTGTGGTCCTCTGTCAGCTTGCCTTGCAGGGACCACAGAGCAGCTTCAGAAGTGTGAACCAGGTGGGGTGGGAGGGTTGCCTTGGGTTTAGCTCAGTTTTTTAGGGTTATCTCTGTCAATTCCCACCCTGTAGTTAAAGCCAGGCGATGCTTGAGGGAAGAGGTGTGGGTAGCCAGCCAGCATATCCTCCCCCCAGAGAATCACATGATATTGTGTTGGAAGGGACCCACAAGGATCATCGAGTCCAACTCTTGATCCAGTGCCCCACACAGGGGTTGAACTCATGACCTTGGTGTTTTCAGTACCATTTTCCAACCAGATGAGCTGATCTCAGGGTTGTCCCTCTCCCTGGGTGGACAGTGTCCTCTCCTCTGTGGCGGATGCTTCCGTAGTGACCCGTCCGTGGCTTTGTTACCCTCCGTCCCTGTGTTGACGTGTACATAGAAGACGCTGCAGGTCTGACCCAAGCACAGCCCCCTCAACCTTTTCTCCTTCCCCTCTCATTTCAGAACATGAACAACTCACAAAAGCCGTCGTGACTCCGTTGGCACTGTCGCGAGGCCGCCGGCGACGCCAGCTTCCCATCCCACTGCCATTCCCGAAGCTTGCTTATCCACCGGTCTCCTCCATCTGCGGCGAGGGCGACCCTCGGCTGTTCCTGCTCACGCCCGTTCATCCACAAACCGCTCTGCTGCCGGGGGGAGGGATGCAGGCGAGTGGAGGAGAGGAGCTGAATTCCCCCCGGGGGTCAACACCAGCTCTTAAGGCCGCAGGGTTTGCTCTCCTCTCCAGCGTCCTGTAGGGTCATAGCGAAGCTGTAAAGTGCTTTCTAGCGCACAGGAGTTTTAATTTTTCTTCTCTAAGCAGTTTTGATCTTCTGTATAGATGATTGGTACCCACTTGTCTGCGGGTGGGGCGTGTATATATGTGGATGGTGCGGGGTTAGTGGAGAAATAGGGGGAAGGGAGGGTGGGCAAAAAGGGGTTTTGCATTTTTTTTTCTTAATTATTATTATTAATTCTTGGTAAGCCCCTCCCAAGCTGTACTGCAGTCCTTCACTCACGCTACAGCCTGTCGCACACGCCAGCCCAGCTCACCCAGGTCTGCAAGCACCAGGAAGGCAGCTGTGTGAACTCCTTCACTGCTGGGTTTAACTACAAAACCCCATTCTTTCCTTTTTTCTTTTTTTTTTTTTTTTTTTTTTATTAAATCAGTGACACCTTAAAGGGGTTTGCAGGGAATGTGGGTCTGCTGCCAACACTGGTTACAAACTGCCTGTAGTGTAGGAGGAACCACACTGCTGGTGGCTCGGGTGATGCTTTCATCTCAGAGAGCACCCAGGGATGGTCTAAGTTCAGGCGTGGTTGATATTTAGAGGGAGACTGAGCACTGTTTTGAGGTGCTGTGCTGGTACTTCATCTCCCCTTTCCTCTTTCTTGGAGGAAAGAGGAGGTATTGGGAGGGGTTTGAATCCCTAGGCTGAGCTTAGATGCATTTTGTAGACACACAGGTCTCATGGAGGTGGCCAGAAGTCTGGCCGGGTTGCAGGAGTCCCTGTCTGGCTGCAAAAAGCCACGAGAAGGGACAGTTTTTTCTGTATTCTTTTTTTAATTTTATATATACATGCACATACTTGTGTGTGTGTATGTGTATACATAGAAACCGCTTGGTTTTTGCACTTTATTTGTGGCAGGAGCATAACTATTGTATTTTTTTCAAGTCGTGCCCCTTAACGGGGGAAGCCTGAATACAGGCAATTGTTTGTTTGTTTTTTAATTGTATTTTGCATGCTGGAAAGCTGGGACTACAAAATAATAGTAGTTACAGTGTTCAAGGTGTGTGTGTGGGGGGAGGGAAGAAGTGGGGTGAGGTCCTGACTTTGACTCCATCAGCCAAAGTCCCAGTGCTTTGATACATGAAATTCCTTGTTGGCAGCCTGCCCTAGGCTGGGAGACAGCAGTTAAAAATGGCAATTAACCACTATTGCTTTGTGGAAAAGTCTGTGGATTTTGAAGGGGGGTTTTTTTGGGGTTTTTTTTTTAGGGTTTTGGGTTGGGCTTTGGTTTGTTCCCCACCTACGTGCAGCATCTCCTCCATCCCCATCTCATGGGTTTTTTTGGCTGGAGGCAGGAGGTGAAGGCAAGCCGCCCCTCCTGCAGCACTGGGCAGAGAGGTCTGGGGAGAAGTTATGGCTTTTTTTTTTTGTGTGTGTGCATGTTTTTTGGGGGGGTTTGGTCTGTTTTTCCTTTGGGAAAAGGCGAACCACAGTGCCTAACGCTTCAGCCTCGCGCTTGGAGCGGCACCGACGGCGGGAGGGGGCCGGGACCACGCTCAGCCCGTGTCCCACAGAGCCCTGCCTGTGTGAGCTTGTGCATATGTGTATTATATTCCTGTACAGATGAAACCAAGAACACTTACCCCCACTTCATTAATTTCTTAATAGCCTCATTAAAAGCAACCTCTTTCTCCCTGCGTGCACGGGTGGCATCTACCCTTTTGGTTTCTCTGCCTTTGAGATAAACGAATGTTTTGGGGAGGTGACTTCACTTGGCTTTTCCAACCTCCTTCCTGGAGAGTTTTATCTCCCACCTCCTGCTGCAAAAAGATAAGCCAGCAAATACAAACATGACGTCTGGCTGCCCTGAGATCAACCCTGTACACATGTAATTCTGCGGATGTTTTGGTGTGTATTTGTGTGTGTATATATATATAAATATATATATAAAACCAGAAAAAAATGGCCCTAAACTTTCTTCCTTTGAGAAAAATAGATGTCTCAGTAGGTCCATGAAAAAATGAAATTTGAACATGGCATTTTCTCCAGCAATGGGAATACTGGTCTCTGAGGTCCTCTTGTGCTGGAGGGGTTGGTGGGATGGTGCTATCACACTGCCCCAAAAACTCGCTGCCCATTGCTTTTGGTTAACAACCAAGGCAGAGTGGGAAAGAGGACTTGTCAAACCACACCAGTGATTTCTTCCCCCCTCTTTTCCCCTGGTTTTGTTTTCCTTTGCAATACTTGAATTTATTTTTTTAATTTTTTTTGATAGCAAAGCATTCTTTATTTATTTAATGTATACTGCAAAGCTTGGAGAGAAGGGTGTAGTTACTTGGGGTTACTTTTTTTTTTTTTTGATTTGTGGTATGTTAACTGTTCTGTATATAGGTCTGGAATAATTGCCTGATATAAAGCTGTGCCAGCTTAAAAGCAGGGTCTGCCTTTCAGAAATTTGTATATTTTGCAGTTGCTGGACCAATAAAATACCTTGTTGAAATACAGACGTGACCTGGTTCTTCCTTGTATTAGGAATTATGCTCTCAGGCCCTAAGGGTCACCGTGTGCCACACAGTGCTGCCTCACACATATGTTCCTGTCCTTGTAAATAAAAATTCTCATAAAAGACAAATAGTGGATGCTCCATCTCTGGAAGTGTTCCAGGCTGAGTTGGATGGGGCTTGGAGCAACCTGGTCTAGTGGAAGGTGTCCTGCCTATGGCTCTACCTGCTACATCACCCTTGAGAATGGAGGTGATGTCTTGGAACCTGTCCTGCCTAGATCTTCATCTAGCCTGTAAATTAGACATGAGAGGCATTTATTCAAACCTAGTCTAGTTCTTGAAATCAAATACCTGCTTAAAGTGATTAGGTGCTAAATGAAGGGCTGAGCAAGAGCTGGCCTCTGAGATCACAGCTGTCTTTGCCCCCAAGGCAGGGAAACAGCAAATGCCACCTGCAAGCAAAGTGGTAAAGTTCCCTGCAAAGTTCTGTTTTGGGTTGTTTTTCTTAAATTGTTTATTTCTGGTTCCAGAGAAAGAGTCGGAGAACGCAGGGAACGGTGTGATTTGACATGATTTTCCGGACTACATCTTAGGTGGATGCTTCCTATGTCATTGCAGGCTTGTCCTCCACCAGCAGCTGTAACTCTAAAAGCTTGTCAGGAGCGAAAGGGGCAAAAAGATGGAGAGCACTGTGTATCCTAGCTCAGCTCTGGGGTTACCTCCTGCTGGCTCCTGTGCAGTCCTTGCTCTGATCTCCCCTGGGGTGTCAGAGCCTGTCAAGCCTTGCTTTGGACTGGGGCTTGCTGGGATGCACAAGGATCTGTCTTCTCTCTTCTAATTGCTCTGTGCTTCAGAGCCTCTCACCAGGAAGGAGGTTCTCATTTTAAGGTTGATTGAGGCACATGCCAGAATATTTTCTAGGTGAACATGCAGACGTGTGAGACTGGGGTGATATTCATCCCTGCAACCATCCTGAGGGCAGGGAGGACCTGTTCTTTCTGGGAAATCCAGAAACCACAAGATTTTAAAATTTTTTCTTTTTTTTTTTTCCAATCTCTAGTAGCCCAGCCATCTCCTTGAGCCAACCAGAGACAAAACACTTGTCTTTATTTTAGGGCAAAGAGCGTAGCCTTGCACCCACCTCACAGGGAGCCTGACACGAGTGTGGGGGCCCTGATAAGACCTCCAGCTGAGGTGAGCCGAGGTTACACGTAGCCACAACATCAGTTCAGCTCTCCTGCCTTCCCCAGGGCAGGCAGGGGCTGTTTTGAAGCCATAACAACCTTGTACTTGTGGGGGGAGCACAGGGGGAAGGCTTTGCCTCCTGGAGCGTGGCTGTGGGCAGCGCTTCCAAGGCTGCTCCGCAAGAAAATGCCGCCTCCAAAAAGTCTTTTCTTCTCTTTCTATGTGTGTGATGGGGCTTGTATCAAGACAGCCATGGAGGAGAGTCAAGCAAGGAAGGGGAGTCAACGTCAAAGCCATCTCAGACAGCATCCTTTATTTTTCTTCCATGAAGAAAAATACTTTTCTCAGAGAGAAGTTCCTTGAGGCAGGGCAGCTTTAAAGGTTATACTTGACAGCAGAAACATTTCTCTGCTTCCAGTCGAGTCCCATTTTTATTAAAATTAAAAAAAATAACCCCCCAGCTCACTGCTGGCAAACAGGGAGAGAGGACTTGTGATTGCTAAAAAAAAAAAAGAAAAAGGACAGCCCAGTCACGCTGGCTGACTCAGCTCTGATTGATGGCTCAGGAATGTGTCTGGGATTAGATAAACCACGGGCAAACCTTTACAATGCAACATGTTGGATGAAGCACAGCAGGCACCAGGCTCACCTGCCTCCAGCTGGGGAGTGACAGCCCTCACGTTATGGGATTGGAGGGGATTTTCTTTTTTTTTATCCGTCTGTGAGGAAAAAAAATAAAAATAATTTGATATTTTCAGGAATTGCTTTGCAAGGGGCTCTAATGGGAATTATTTGCAACAGCTCCAGGTATCCAGATGCATTTGTGCACTTTTGCTACAACCAACATGTCCTGGGAAGGAATAAGTTTGTTCTGAAACACAGAGAATTTATTTTACAGCTCTGCACAGAACTGTGTAAATCACAGTCTCACTGCTCCGTGCTAAACTTTGCTAAGTGTCAGGGTCCCTTCCCCACCTCAAGGGTGGGCTCAGAACCCAGGCTTCCTCCATGGCCACGAGAAAGCTGCGTGGATGTGAATATTTGACCCTCATATTTCCCTTGCTCATGTGTCCATCTGTGTCCTTTCTGAGGCTGAGGGGTGTAATGAGGCAGCACCAGTCTTACCTCCCTGAGCTGTCCCTTTCCCAGGTGTGTAACAGCCTATTCCCATTCCCCAGGTGTGAAAGAGCCCATTTCCATGCCTGGTTAGGCTCAGCATGGGTCTGGAGGGTGCAAATTCTCTCCTGGCAATTTCATGCCCCAAATAAAACTCTCCTGGTGTGGCTGCCTGAGCCCTTCTTCTCCTACCTCACCCCTGCCCATTGAGGGATCCCCTGGCTCTGGCCTTGCTCATCTCAGCAACAGCAATCCAGTCTGCAGCTGGACCTGTTCAGATGCTCCTAAGCCCTGTGAGTTTATCCTGCTGGAGAAACTTCCATCTGCAGCCTTTCTGTTACTCGCCCTGACCACTGCAGAGCATACTCACCTTGGAGCTGCTGCTTGGTTATGGCTGGACAGTGATATATCCCATTGTGGCTGCTCCTTGCAACCTCCTGAATAAATGCACAGAGGGATTTTTTTCATACAACAGGTCTTGAGAAATCAGATTGTGTCATTTCCCCAGCCGTGTGCTTTTGCTTTCCCATTTCTTCCCTCTTGGATTATGGCCTGTTTGCCTTGGATGATCTGGACACTGTTTGCAGAGCTGTTGTTCTCCACAGCTGTGGCAGGACTCAGAGGGGGCCTTGAAGGTTTGGTCAATTGGCTCTACTGGGAGTGCTGGTTAGAAAAAGTCAATTGAAACTGAACCTAGTTGTCAGTAATGCTGGAAAATATTACATCACGTGGATGGAGGAAGATTGGTAAGAGTCAATACCAAAATAGCATAACCCTAAAGTACCTGATCTAATTGAAGATGTTCCTGCTCATTGCAGGAAAGTTGACCTTTAAATGTCCCTTCCAGCCCAAACTGTTCTACAATTCTGTTCTATTATTCAGCTCATTTGAAATGAAATTCATTTACAGTTCCTACATTCACAAAATAGGCTTAATGTCTCATGTTCTGCCTGGAAGTGCCCTGCTTGCTGCATCCTGCTGATCCTGTGTCCTGCTCCATGATCCAACCCTAGGACCTGTACCTGGTCTGGGAAGGCCATGGGTGGACAAAATCCTTGCTGCTGCTGTGTCCAGGCTGGGCTCTGTGTCCTGGGAAACCTTCATTGTAAGGGTTGCTCCATGCTTTCCGTGTTGTCTGATGCTCTGTCCAACGTGTCGACACGAGACAGAGCAACAGAACACGAAGAAATCACAGAATCGCAGAATGGTTTGGGTTGAAAGGGACCCCAAATATCATTCAGTTCCAACCCCTTGCCATGGGGAGGGACACTTTCCATTAGAAAGACACTTACATTAGAGCCCCATCCAACCTGACTCTGTACATTTCCAGGGGTAAGTCAGCACTTCCAGGGGTGGTTCTGAGTGTTGCCAGGGCCTCGATCTCCTGGTAGTCTCTTCCATCATGAGCCACCACTATCCCTTGAGGACCAAGAAACTCAACCCAGCTGATGATAGCCTAAATCCCTCAAGAAGTCTTCTAAAATGTTACCTTCCACAATCCTAAGGAAAATATAATTTACAACCTGTTAAGACTATGACAAGGTTACTGAGTTTGGTGAGCTTCCTGACCAGCCAGACAAAACCCAACTGATGCACCTGTCCACCCAACTTTCTACACAGTGAGAAGTTCGTTTCTTGCTGATCTGAGACTCAGAGCTACCACAATCTGAAGGGATGGTGATAAGACAATGTTCAGGATCCCATAGGTTTTGTGAATTGCTTCTCCCTCTAGTACGAGGTGCAGACCTTGATATTGCACCCACTCCTAGCCAGACACACAGCAAACATTTGGTCTTCTGAGGTATCTGAGTGCTTTTTGTACTGAAATCGATGTTGGTGGCTTGGTGCAGAAGTTAAAAAAGTGGGTGGCAGCAGAGGTTGTGACTAAAAACACCGTTGAATTAGAGCTACAAAGAGAAACAATAATTAAGACCTAACAAATAATTACCACGGTGGAGGGCAGCTCAAGAATGAGCACAGCCCCACATCCAGATATTTCTAGCTGCAAGTCAAACCCCACAATTAAGCTGTGATTTTGGTCATTATGAAGAGGTATTTCCAGAGCTGAGTCTTGCTTTTCGCTGCCTTTATCCACCAAAATGACTGGCTGAGCATCAGCAGAAAGAAAACCCAGCATTTTGATAAATGTCATCCAAACCAGACTGGAGAGCCTGTGTTAGCCTGTGTTAAATGCCTCCACCAAAGCTGGATGCCAACCTGTGGGCAGAGCTAGAGCTGAAGAGAAGAGAAGGCTTTCTGGCTAGGAGGAGATGTGTTGTTTTAGAGGTTGGTGGTACCTAAAAATACCAGTATCCTCTCTTGGGAGTTCCACCATATGACAGCATGGAGAAGCAAATGTCACCATGCATTTCTCTGCCTCTTGGTCCATCTCTACCCACTCATTACTCCAGGGCACTGATCCATCAGTAAAAAAAGGGGGGAAAGGAGGCTGTAGCTCTCACACGGGTATCTGGTCACTTCGCCCGCTCCTTGCTTCAAGCACAGTGTCCCCAGGGGTGTCTCCACAGGCAAGTCATACCATTGACCCAGATTTCAGGGGGATAGCACAAGTATTAATGGCTTATTTCCTTCCTGACTCTCCCACTGGTGGTGCTGCAAGGACTGTGACCTACCCTGACTGTTCCAGAGCTGCTCTTTTACCTTCCAGATAGTATTAATGTCACCCACTATCAACCAGGC